CCCCCCCCCCCCCCCCCCCCCACTCAGTCACAGATTTCTTACCATTGAGTTGTATTAAACATGGTGCTGGGACTATGACACTCCTCCCAATCCCCGACCCAATTAAAAAGAACCAAAAATACGATTCCTAAAATCGCAACTGTAGATTTAACTTTTTGACGCTCGTTTCTGTTTTTTTTTTTCAGGCTATAGGTCAAGTATAACAGCATACCCCAGACAGCCGACATACGGCGATCGCCTGACTTTAACCTGCGACTCCGATTTTACATATAGCAATGTTACCAATCAGACGGGGTACAGATGGTATAAAATAATTGATACTAAGTCAGTTCTCTTGAATAATACCGAGAAGACATATTCTTTAGGACCATCATTAACTGAAGGGGATCAGGGAAGCATCTTCCAATGTAAACCAGTTTATAAGTTCATAGGTTTCAGCCTAAGTCCTCAATACACAGTCAATATATTCAGTGAGTGTTTTAAAAATGTGTTGGTATTATGTACAGTCTATTTAAAACTAGACCTTCCGTTCCATTTATTTTTAAAATCAATTTAAATGCAACCACTACAGACGAGTCGTCTTTTTAACTTTCAAACGCGGAGACAAGAAGATGAAGATTGGTCACACAGATGGCGAATCTGTCCCGGCAAGTTATAAATGTTATTGTGGGTTCGCATTAGGAAATCCTCGGCAGATTCCGTAAAGCTGAAACTAGCAGAATTTTCACAGTAGGCTGTTTGGTGGGTTCGTTGACACCCGAGTTTTAAGCTTAGAGAGATTGAAACGCTTACGGCACATATACTGCATTTGGAATTGTTGTCATATTTTCTTATCTTAAACTATTTTTTTTAGCAGGAAATCCAGAACCGCTTGGTAATTTAAAAGTTCTGGGAATCGATGGCGATCAGGTGACAATTCACTGGCAACCAGGGAGAATTTCCAGGGCCTTGCAATCGTTCGTAATCGAACATAAAACTCCGTCAAGCGATTGGACGAATTTGATTATGCAACGCAGTGGCGGGGTTGCAAACCAAACATACATTTCAACGATTAACCCTCGGACCTTGAATGATTATAGAGTCAAGGGGATTAATGCTGTCGGTGATAACTCATACAGCAATGTACTATCTGTATATGTTGACAATGAGAGGAATGCTACGAAGCCCACGATGGGTCCAATGGTCAACGGTATGTTCTTGCTTTCGCCCTGTTGTATTAAATTGCTCAGTGAGTTAGACCATTGCTCGGGGGACCATGGTTCCATTTCTGTTTGCGTTTCTTCCTGTCAGTGATGCTGGTCGAGGAGACTGACATGGAAAAAGCGTCCAGTCGTATGGGTGGGACAATAATCAGTGGCAACGTTTGCTACAGACCTCGGATCTTCACAATGGTAAAGGTAATACCAATGGCCCACTTTCTTGTTTCACGGCCAGCGATTTGATTGGATTGTACGCCAGCGAATATAGCCAATCAGAGCCCTCGTTTTCATGTGTAATAATATTTTTAACACCTTTAATCTAGGGCTCAAGTTGGCTGTATATAATCATATCAAATAGCTGACCGTGGGCCATTGCTGTTGCTGCTGTCTTGGCAAATTTATTTTATCGAGTGATGTGGTCAACAGTGAATTGTGTCATGTGATTGTAGACAACTCTTGTCTACGATTTTGTATTATTTGACTCCAGGCCAATGTATTATCTCCTCATAGTGACACGCCAAATAACCATATCAAATTTAACAGTCATGGGATTTCCTGTTTTTCTTTCAGTCGACAATACCGTTCTTGTGATTTGTGTGGTCATAGGAGTTATAGCAGTTCTGATTTTTACAACTATCATGGTTCTTATTTTTACTAGAAGGAGAAAGGACAAAGGTTTGTAGCCAGTGAGTTTTCTATATAACATTAGATGTAGAAACATCACTGTTAAGAACTCATTGATAAGCCCACGCCCTCAACCGGTAATAACGCTACTGTTCGTAGCTAGATGTATCACAGTTGTGGTTTCTTATTGGAAATAGAGTTACCTCCCATACAAAGAGACCAAAAGAAATTACTTTCTGATTATGATTCGGCTAATGAGGACAGACAACGCCATGCAGTGTGTAATGGGGGAAATTGTGCAGAGATCTTAATCTTCATGGACTTTCATTCGGTCTGATATATCTTTCAGGTGAGAGACTGGTAGAAGATGAAAATATACACAGAGATAGTCCATCGAGATCTTCAGAGGGATCCGGTAGCGTCGGTATTTTCGCCAGAGCCCCATCTTTTGAGGGAACATCGGAACAAATAAGAGGCAGTGAGCCTACCATCGGCTCATCAGAAACTAACTATGTCCATAACAATGACGATAGCAGAACTAATATTAATCTACCTAGAATGAACAGCGATAGGCGTTCTTCGGAATCCAGACGTGTCCACTTCCCGCTTTCAGACTAACAAGATATGGAACACGGAGAAACACATCTTCACTCCGTCTACTACCTTGACATCAATAGTGATTTGATTAGCAAAATGTTAAAGGTTGGGAAAACTTCAATCTAATAGTACCTTGACCGGATGATACGTTAGCGAAAACAGTTAACCAGAGCATTCGACAGAAATACTATATGACTCATGCGAACATGAACATGAACATTTGTGGCTTGAATACCATAGCAGATATGATGTGGCCAACTTCTTTGTTGGGGATCCTTTCAACCAGCTGGTTCTTGGCCAAACGTCAGGGCAGTGATCTTTCCCGGATAATTAAACCAATTTACAGCTGGATTGTCTGAAATGATTAGGAAAGCTACATCTTACATGGTTTTTGTTTTTCATTAATGTAAATTCAAGGCAAAATCATTGTTTTTTGAACATCATTTGCGTTTAAATTGTTCATATATAGAACCCTTTCAATTTTATTTTTTTAAGAATTACGCTTAATTTTATCAGCTTTTAGATTATGTAGATGTTGTATATCACACCAAGTGTAAAAGTGCGAAGAAGACGATGTACAGTGTACGGCGCGGTGTCCGGTGCTGGATTATCAACACAGTAGAAACTAGAAGAAACGAATCTGTGTCCGCACCGTGTCCGGACCCGTACCTCGTGTGTTCACTTCTTCTATTTTCATTTGTATCAATTATTCCGCACCGTACACCACATCGTACACCGCACCGTACACCGTACCTCGTCTATTCGCTACGGCGTATACTCGACTTATAATTCAATGTACCAGCACCTCGCCAAATTTTCTGTAAATACATGTCTTTACTTTTTTTATATTATTCAGTGAATTTATATTATATTTCCAGCAAATTAAAATATATAATAAAAATTGTTTTTTTCTCAAAATATGATTCCCTTTGACTGTTTTGGCGCCCTTTAATCGTTACCACACAAATTGAATTATTTTCGAGAGTCGTTTCGGAGACATCAGCAATTTCACTCTTTCAATTCAAATCAAGATTTAAGCAATTCCAATCTAAAACTTTATCACAAATTTGATGATAAATTTGATAACAAAATATTAAAGTTATGAAATTTGTATCGAGATAACATTAAACCTTGTTGACTCTGCAAAATTATCTCCCCCAAGACGTGTTCTTATTACAAATTAACGCAATTGCTTCAAGCCACTGTTCAAAAATTGCTTTCAAAAAGTGTGAATTTAATTGCCACTTGCCTCTCGCAGTCATGCCTACAATTAGTACGAGTATTTGCTTGTTCAATAAATGTGGAAAATATGAAGGAATATTAAAGATTATGACCGTTCTACGATATTGACCCCCAAAAAAAGGTACATGGCTTCTGCGTTTGCAGTTTTTTTACAATCTTTGTATATCAAGAACACACAGCTTTTTTAAGGCATTTAATTTTTCTCATTCCTCATCCGAGGTTCCGAAAATCTTTCAGTAATTACAGGAACCAAAGACTTCGAAAGAGAAATCGGAATGATTTTGATCAAAGCGTCCCTGATACACATACAAGATTTCTGACAGGACAACGTTATTGAACCAATTTAAAATGTTACCGTATAATTCATTCGAATTTATTGTCTGATTTTAAAGACTGTATCTTCTGATACTGTGAAATTTCGCATGCGAGTCCCTCGACGTCGAACAGTGGTAATTAAGGAAAGTATTCATGCATTTTATTACATACGCAGATTCCCCAAGAGTCGAATGCTCCTTTCTGCTGTTATGAAATAATTGGATTATATTGTCTATTTTTTTGATGTAGACGAGAAAAAAATGACTGGATAACAGAATTTGGTGGCACGAACACGATAAAGTTCCCAGTTTCTAAAAATATTGTAGATTAATGTTGGAGCGTAAACGTTATAAATTAACTATTTGAAAAAGTCAAAAATAATGTTTTTCTTCACTTTACGTGCAAGTTTAGTCGTACAAATGTTTGAGAAACCTGGCCATAATCGTCGGTATTGTTATCGTCGTTATCATCGTCATCGTCACTATCGTCATCGTCATCATCATCGTCATCATCATCGTCCTCACCATTTTCACCAGAATCGCACTCAATCATCTCTGATAATCTTCAGCTTCGATCATTCGAACCCACTGATCACCAAATCAGTGTCAGCTATTGCATCATGTAACATGATTGTCGATAAATTCCATTTTACAGAAATCAATATCCATGGTAATAAATACCCTTTGTGATCAAAAGACACAAACTCTTATTTATACTGGGTTCTTATCTTCGAGGTTTGATTTGATCAAATCAATGAATATATCGTACACTGCAAAAAGAAGCACACAAGAAATACCTCCTGAGTACAAGTATACTGCTTCGATTTCACAGCAACAAGATACAGAACTCTGTCCAATTTCAATATTTTAATATTTTCAAATTATCTCTAGTATATCTAACCAAGTGCCTTAAGATGATAACGTCAAAATCAGAAGAAGTTGTAATAAATTTCATATCCTTCAGGCAAGAAAGTATCCGGGAAAATTTGCTGAATTTGACATATTGAAACTGGGCCGTAGACAATATATTTATTACATTTCAACGTGAGTCTGACAATCTTTAGGAGGTCGAAACAGTACATTGATGTATCGAAATTCTTAGAGTTTTCAAATCGCACAATGTATTTTTCTATGTTTTTTATTATATCTTTATCTCGACGATTTCCACTCCCTGATTGCATGTATTAAGGCTGTATCTTGATTTCCTATCTGGATGATTCTTTAGTTAATAGAACTTGACTTCAACTCGAATCACTATGGTATGCAAAGGGTACGCTCGTGGAAAAGTATACAACACTTCATTCCGTTTAACCCAGTGTTCAATCTCGGCATAGGTTTGCGATAAGATAATACCCTCGGATCTTTCAACCCAGAAAATTAGAACGTAAAACTCCATTCATTTAAGTTCATTTCGTCTATTTGTCATTGGTCAGAGCGACCTGAAAATGTCTTGCTGTGTAATAATGTTAAAATACTCCCCATTGTCTCTTTCTTATCTTATTGTTTTATTGAATATCTTGTTTAAATACTCGAGGGGGGAGTATCAAATGATGTAATGTTTTATTTTGATTATTGAATTGTCTAGAAATTGTTCATTATTTTTCATCGAAAATTTATTGCGTTGTGAATAATGGAAATAAAAACAACAAAATGAAGGAGGAAAGGGAAAAAGGGGGGTAGTAGTGGTGAGGAAGGTGGGGGTGGGAAGGGGGCGGGGTACTGAAGAAGAAGGGGCGGGGCGAAAGGAGGAGGGGATAAGACGAAACAGTGGATGAGGCTTTCCAGAAGGATGAGCTTGAGATCTCGACGATTGTCAAACGCAAAAACAATATTGCTAATATACGTATCCTCATCACATAAACAATACAAGCTATGTCGATTCTCCAAAAGGGGTACCGATAATATATTCCGGAAGTATAAGAATGTCCTAGCTCGCTACTAGTCGACTAGTAAATTACGACAGGGTGTCAGCCATTTGTTTACATTACCTTTTGAAAATCAGGCCACGTATTCTCAAAACGATCTTAGCGCTAAGATGTCCTAGAATCAATGTTAGAAGATAAGAACCTAGGACATCCTAGAAACAATGTTAGAAAATAAGAACCTAGGACATCCTAGAAACAATGTTAGAAAATAAGAACCTAGGACATCCTAGAAACAGTGTTAGAAGATAAGAACCTAGGACATCCTAGAATCAATGTTAGAAGATAAGAACCTAGGACATCCTAGAAACAGTGTTAGAAAATAAGAACCTAGGACATCCTAGAAACAGTGTTAGAAGATAAGAACCTAGGACATCCTAGTGCTAAGATCGTTTCGAGAATACGTGACCAGGAAACCAGTAATCAGTAATGTTCAAAAGCAAACTAATCTTTACTTTTATTCATTAAAAGCGAACCAGGTTAATAAAAATCTAGTGGCGGATTTCATGAGCTCGCTTTTTCTCTTTGGTCAATATCCATGAAAAAGGCCAATAATAAAATTATCGATCTGGTAGGGTTCTTCCCCTTTATGATTGAGTATTTCTTAGACATTAAAGTCAAATACTTGATCAATATAAATTTCAATCGGAAAAATACTAGATTTTTTTTACGATCGTAGCAACAAATATGGAAATTCAATAAAAGCTGGATAGTCTTTCTAAATTGATGATTTATCGGCGTGAAATTCTAAAGATGAGATCATTTTTATTCAAATTACCATCAATAAATCGCAATTTTATTATCATTTTATGACGTAATCGATAATTCCTTTGATAAGCCTCTAAAACACCTATACAAAGGCCCATAACTCACGCTAAACAAAAGCGCGCCTGTCAGCGGACAGAAAAGGAAGAGCAGACGTGAGTTAAGAAAAGCGCGGTAAGTTTATCGATACATTAGAAAGTTGTTAGGTTTGACGTCTGTCTGGCACGAGGTGTAGTTCTAGTTATCACGAGCGGTAATTCTAAATCATTGTACATAATATATCCACGGTGTACAGTTAATACAGCCGAACGAATATTGGATACTTTCAATTATACTTTTCGCGCCTGAAAGTCGTCGGCGATAATAGGAAAATATTGGAAAAGTTGGCATTCAGACGACCCGTTCATGAAACGAGAGAAATGGATAATTAACGTATAGGATATATTGGAATTATTAGTTTTAAAATTTTCTGGTTTTATTTTAATAGTTTACATGAATTTGTATACATAACTCAGTACTTATTTACGTTTATACTTCTAAAACCAGAAATCCAGGTGTGCAACCGTTACTAGCGCGTGAAACCGCAAATTTGGGTAGGCCTAATTGAAATATAAATATTAACAGTATTTTTTGTTTGTTGGCAATGTGGCACTATTTTGATACAGGATACATAGAAAACTTGCATCGGAATTAGTCGGTAAAAGTCGTCCGTTTGACTTGTGTGCGTTACAGATAGAGAGAAAAGCGTGGTAAAAGGTTCTAGCCGTGTACGGGGTCG